TCAGTTACGCGGTTTTATGGATGTAACAATGGCATATGTGGCCAACAATGGAAGTGTGCTAGTTTCAGAATATTCCAAATTCGGAACACTATTAGCAGTAACGAATCAGATAAAAATCGCTACTGGCAAACCTCTGATGGAAACTGTAGCTATTTTCTTTACAATCGAAATGCTTCAAATTGTGGAGTACTTACATAATTGCCAAATAATACATGGAGACATAAAGCCAGATAACTTTTTATTAATGCGATTGTTAGTATTATTTTATTATTACTCATTTTTACATGTTGGAAATAATATACAGTTTCATTTTTATATGTTGGAAATAATATACAGTCACTATTATCTAATATGTATATAATGTGTAAGTGTAATTTTCAATATTAAGTTGACACAAGATATATGAAATTTTTAAGAATATACTAAAACAATCCAGTCTCTCAAAAATCTATCATATGATATAATATTTTTGTTAAAGAGAAGAGAATTTCATCATTTAATAATACAAAAAATAAATCATTAGAAAGAATAGAGAGATTATTTCAAATAGAGAATATACATACATAAATAGCTAATAATTGCAAGATTTATTCTTCAAGTACATTTAAGCTGTTTTTAATATTTTTATGATCATTGACAGACCTACACAAGATGTAAGGCCAACAATACAATTGATAGATTTTGGATGCAGTATAGATATGAAACTATTGCCAGAAAATACAACGTTCACACAAGTTATAAAAACGGAAGATTTCACTTGTATCGAAATGCAAACTGGAAGACCGTGGACATATCAGACTGATTTATACTGTCTAGCGGCGACCAGTCATTGTTTGCTATTTGGCAATTACATGAAAGTATCTAACGTAGGCGGTCGTTGGTTTATTGCCTCGAAATTACCAAGGTATATAAATAACAAGTATAAACATATTGTATATACAAGTGTAATGATATTGTGTGTAATTAGAAGAATCACACTTGTTATTCTCAAAAGATTAAATATTGGTTTCAAAAACTGTTTCCTTTTTTTCTTATTACAGGTATGCTAAAAAGGCTGCTTGGGAACAATTTTTCACAGAGTTATTAAATATCGAATCTTGCGAGAAAATGCCTGATTTGGCAAAATTGAGAAACATGATGGAGGAAACGTTAGCACAAATGTCGGAGGCGCAAGCGAAATTTCGGACTTTTGTCAACATTCTTAACAAACGATAACGCTTACTATATTTGACGATATGTACCAATGTGTGCATATATTTAGTAAAGAACCAACGTGTAATAAGAGACATTAATGTTATTGTGCTATTTATTATAAAAAGTTAATACTACAGTGATAAAAATATATATGTATCTACACAGTTATAACATACACGAAATGCACCTTATGGCCTGCTTCGTGGAGGCTTTATCGATACTCGTGTTGCTTGCACATAATCAATGTTATTAAGGACCACTGTTACAAGGAAAGTTTGACCCTTCACAAATGTTTCGGAAACTTACGAGGTATGTGAAGATTTATATAATAGAGAGGGATTTTTTGGAATGTATCTTGTTATCTCCTGCAACATTATATGAGTTCGCTACATAATATTTATATAATACAATTCAACACAAAATTTTACAAAAAAAATCGAGTCTGTAAAAATGAATAGTACAAGATGGGTATGATGTGATGTATTCAGATCGTTCAATTTGCAAGATGGCATGCAAAAGCACATGCGTACCTAAAATATATCCGAATGTGAGTACCTTGTATAGATAATTAAAATGTATATGTAATTCTTGTATATTTACAACAGACTTTGAACTTTCAAATTCTGTTGCAATTAATATTGAGGTGGAGTTCGTTTCGTTTTCAAATATTCTTTCCAGAATGTACGGAAATATATTGCATAAAGAATGTTAACTGATTATCCTAGACAATTCTTCCGCCTTCCCCTCCACCTTCTTCCACCTCGTTCAGTTTTAATGTAAAGCAATGATAATTACTATGTATTATGTATTATCTAAAGCAATGCCAATATTTTGATCTGAATATGTGCAGGCTTGTTTTCGAATGTCCACTAAACAGGCCTTTTATGTATTATACTTTTTATAAGTTAGATTATATTTATATATATAAATATGTACGCGCGTAAATACGACACGATCAATGGAAATTTCCAATTTGTGTGTTCCAATTGTAGATTTTATAAAGATACGCAAGGACTTTGGGTTGTCTAAAAATCGTAAATATGAATATGAAATTATGTATTTGCATATACTGCTATATAGAATATATTAAATCATATATATATATATATATATATATATATATATATATATATATATATATATAATCGACAACCTATCGTTCTTGTTTGTGAAAATTTATGAGAATATGCCTTATCTCTTACTTTAATGCAACATGAAAACAACTTTCAGATAAGATCCCGTACAAAGCTTTAAGATAAAAAGAAAACAGTTGAGACATTGTAAAATACATTTATTAAAATCAATAACATCAAGTTATGGATTTCTCGATTTATCTTTGATCGCAAAATCTGTATGTCATAATATTTATAATCTGCATATATCTGTAACCTTATAAAATCATATATTTATATCTTTATATATATAAAGGGAATTATATATATATAAAGAGAAAGATGTGTGCAAAAATATTACATATATAAAATATTGCAGAATTTCCAGTATTATACAAAGAGCCCTGTTATTTGACAAATTATTATTAATATAACGTTCTCTTTAATAAAAAAATTCGGTATTGATTTTGCAAGCGAATACAAAGATTATTACATTACATTATGTCAAATATTTTTTTATTTGTTGAAAATATTTTTGAATTTTTAACATAATCAAACATGATACATTCTATATATATATATATATATATATATATATATATATATATATATATATATAATAGCTTATTTCGAAATACTTAATTTTAAAAATAATATTTGAATGCATGATATTATTATTTATCAATTTGTAGCCAAACTAAAAAAATTATATTTTTTATGATTATTTTATAAATTAGGAGACTTTATAAAAATTTAGAAATAATCATTTTTATTATTTTTTTAAAATGCACAAGAATATATTTAAGTGCATTTTATTGGGCATCTACATAGTCTAAGATCATCGAATTGTGAGAACTCATGATCTAAAAATAAGATGTCAAATAAAATAGTAGTAATAATATGACAATCAAAAGTAATCGATGGTAGAAATTGACAGATTAAAATAATTTTGCGACATCAATATATCTAAAACATTTTTTACTCACAAAACTTGGAAGAAAATTATTAGGGTCAGTAATAATATTTCATTCGATAAATGTACATTAAAATAATTCAATTTGAATCATTTTAAATCTCTGCGATTTTTTCTCAAACTTGATAATGTGATATTTGATAAAGTCTAACTGTTTCTAAAATTTATTTCGATCTCCAACGCAAATTTTATCTTGATTCCCGCCATTTTTACAAATGTTACTTATACTTTATCTGATTGGTCTATCTGATACACATTGCTCGACCAATCAGCATAAAAGGAGCAGAAATTCCTTTATTCCGATTGGTCGATCAAATCTACCCAACAGAGAGATTTTTGAACACAATTATGAATGAAACCAATCAAATTTGATCGCAGCCAATGATCGTCGAGCAAAACGTTCAAATGCGAAGTAAGCAGCTTCAGGTAAATAGCGCGAAGCAAAGTGACATCGTGTTGTATCCGAGGGATATTTTTAGTGGAGTCTTTTTTGATTTAATAAATTCTAAAGCGATCTCTTTCAGTCATCGTTCCATCTTGTTCTATTGCTCGTGTTGTATCGTATTTTATTACAAACAATGGCAGTGCAACCTAATCAACAGCTTAGTATGGGTATGAAGGAATCTCTAACCAATATTTTACACCATACACTTTTATTGTGTTGTATCTCTCAATATAATTATTCTATTTTAGATCCTCCCACACAACAGAGCTTTGTCAGATTTTTTAAGAGTCTTCCAGAGGTAAGCAAATGTCATAATGCAAATTTTATAATTATTGAAATATCTTCTATTTTATTTATTATATCTTTTATTTTTTATAATTTATGTATCGATTACATTTAATGTTAGCTGTCTTTATCAGTTTTTATAGATTATTTCTTTCAATGTGTTTAGCTTACTGAAAAAATTTTTTCTACAATATTGACTGATTAGAAGCTCATAGAAAAATTAAAGCAAAATTATTTATAATACAATTGGAAGAAAGAAGTCATTCTTACTTTTTTATTAACATTATTCTTTTTCAAGTTAATTTAAAATAATTTATAATTTATATTAATTTTGAGAAATAAGATAAAAATTATTTAGCTTTAATAAAAATATATATACAGACAAAAGATTTGAAAATTTTTACAAATTATAATAATAGTTTGCGTAATAATAGTATTTAGATATATAGTGCAAAAAAAGATTGTAGGATATCTATTTGTGTAAAATATTTTTCTGTTAATATGTAGGAACACACATATATCAATTTGATCTCTTTTTTTTTGCTAATATTCTTTTTTTAATATTAAAAAGAAAGGAAGAGGATAGCTGCAATTAGCTTTTCTTTATTTATATCTGTATCTTTATTAAATTTTACTTGTGTCTATATTTGAATCATTGCTAAAATGATAATATTTTGTGAGAAAAATATATGTATAAATGCTATATGGAAAAGCGCTTAAAGATATAAATTAGAAAACTTGTTTCTATGCTGATATTATATAAAAAAAGATTGATATTAATATATTTTTATTTACAGAAAATGTGAAAAGTGCCTTATAATAATGTTTTATAATACTAATTCAGAATATATTAATTAATGTCATAGACTTATGATACCATGATTATATGTTTCTTGATTTAACTTTGATATTATCGGTAATTCTGCAAATATATGTATGTTACAAATAAAGTAACAATTCAATATATTGAAAATCAGAATAGAAAAATTTTGTTACATATAAATAAGTAATTTTTAAATAAGTAAAAAGAATATACAGAGAGATACCTAACCAAAGTATTCTTTAGCTTTGCCTCTAGCTTTATCATATGTTTCCTTAGCTTTATCGTATGTACTAGTTATTTTATGTCCAACTCTACTCCAGAAGGATGGTGTTGTTGTACTTTCTATTATCTGCGTTGTATTCTCTGACGCTTCTGTAGTTGCAGCTCTGACATTCGACGTACTTACTGTGGGCAATGTATCTGCTACTGTCCATGGTATTATCTCCTTTGGCTTTTCCCTGATATCCCATGGGTCCTCACCACCTATAGGTGGCAAAGTAGCGCTAGGATTTGGCTTGACTCTTCTATAAATATCATCATTACGCGATGCATATGGTCCTCCGCCATATGCTTCCAAGATTCGCGATTCTATTTTATGTTCTGTCTGTTCTGTAGTTTGCGTTGAGGTTTGTTGCGAATTTTGCAGCGGTTTTACCCTTAATGGAGTTTCTTCAGAATTTTGATTAAACTGATCATCAAAGTGGGATGTTTCAGCTTGTTGGAATGATCCTACCTGTTGATCATGTTTGTCATGTTGGGTTTGCGATGGTTGAAAAACATCTATATTTTCAAATGTATCCTTATTTTGTGTTTCCTGTTGGCTAAAGTCAAATGGTTTCGATTGTTGTTGCTGTGTATCTTCCGTTTGCTGCGAATTGACATTATGATGCGGATAATAATTGTTATGCGAGCTTTCGATATTAGTTAAATCGCTTGGATGATAAGTGTAATGCCATTGTAGACCTACTGTAGCATCGTTTGATTTATGTACCCAATGCAAGCGATCCATATTTTCTTTTTCGTTGTCAAATACACTGCTCCCTTGACTTTGGTCATGTGGAATGTCTGATCTACGATGACCGGATGTGAAATGTGTCAGGCGACTGCTGTGTTGAGCAGTTTTTCCCTGGAGATTGTCTATTTCAGCCTCCGGGTTTATTTCGATCGGTTCAAAAATATCGTCGAGATTCGTGTCTGTTCCATCCATATGCGATGGAATGGAATTGTATTTCTGATGTCGCTGTCTTGGTCTTGGTTTTGGTTTTGGCGCCGGTTTGACGAATTGTCGATCGTCGTTGGTTTGTTGAGTAAAATCTTGCTGTGTTTTCTGCGACATATCCAATTGCCATTTTGATTGTTCATTATTATTATCGTTACCGTAGGATGGATATTGATGAGATTGTTGTGAAAGATCATCTGTAGTCCAGTCATTTTGTTGAGACAAATGTTCCGAATGTTGAGTATTGTATCCTGGCCAGCTAGGTTTTTGTGATTGGTCTCTTTGTTGTCCGTATTCGAAATGTCCTTGCTGCGTGAAATCGTCAAATTCTCCAACCTGTTGATTTAAATTTTTATTTGACTGAATAAAATCTCCTGAATGATGACTAATCTTTGGATTATTGGAGTCTTGCTGTGCAAATTCTAGTTGTCCCATTGTCTGTTGTGTAAAATCATGTTCTCCCGTCTGTTGAGAAAAATCTTCGTTGTTAAATTCTTCTAAATGTTGATTTTTTGGATTAGGAGGTTTATTTATCGATTGTGATTTATCGAAAATTGTTACATCTTCCAAGTGTTGATTATCAGCAGTCTGGTGTCCGAATTCGAGTTTTCCGCTCGTCTGTTGCGTATAATCATCAGATCCTGGTGTTTCAAATTGTTCAATTTGGTGCTTTTGATTTTCCAAGTGTTGATTACCAACAATTTGTTGCCCGAATTCAAGTTTACCACTCGTTTGTTGCGTGAGATCATCATATTCTGGCTGCAATTGGTCACTGTGTTGTGTCAGATGTGATTGATCACTCAAAGTTTGCTGTCCGAATTCGAGTTGACCCTCTGTCTCCTGCGTGAACTGTTTATCCTGTTGTGTTAAATCCTCTAAGTGTTCATTACCGACAGTTTGTTGTCCAAATTCGAGTTTATCTGTTTGTTGCGTGCGATCATTAGATTCAGGCTGCGTAAGTTCCACTCCAAGTTGCGGACCAAATCCAAATCCATGCGTCTGATGTGTAAATTGTTGATCTTCTGTCTGTTGTGTGAACTGTTTATCCTGTTGTGTTAAATCCTCTAAATGCTGATTGCCGACAGTTTGCTGATCAAATTCGAATTGACCTCCTGTCTGTTGTGTAAACTGTTTATCCTGTTGTGTTAAATCCTCTAAATGCTGATTGCCGACAGTTTGCTGACCAAATTCGAGTTGACCTTCTGTCTGTTGTGTGAAATGTTTATCATGTGTTGAATCCTCTAAATGCTGATTGCCGACAGTTTGCTGACCAAATTCGAATTGACCTTCTGTCTGTTGTGTAAACTGTTTATCCTGTTGTGTTAAATCCTCTAAATGCTGATTGCCGACAGTTTGCTGACCAAATTCGAGTTGACCTTCTGTCTGTTGTGTGAAATGTTTATCATGTGTTGAATCCTCTAAATGCTGATTGCCGACAGTTTGCTGACCAAATTCGAATTGACCTTCTGTCTGTTGTGTGAACTGTTTATCCTGTTGTGTTAAATCTTCTAAATGCTGATTGCCGACAGTTTGCTGACCAAATTCGAGTTGGCCTTCTGTCTGTTGTGTGAACTGTTTATCATGTTGTGTTAAATCCTCTAAATGCTGATTGCCGACAGTTTGCTGACCAAATTCGAGTTGACCTTCTGTCTGTTGTGTGAAATGTTTATCATGTGTTGAATCCTCTAAATGCTGATTGCCGACAGTTTGCTGACCAAATTCGAGTTGACCTTCTGTCTGTTGTGTGAACTGTTTATCATGTTGTGTTAAATCCTCTAAATGCTGATTGCCGACAGTTTGCTGACCAAATTCGAGTTGACCTTCTGTCTGTTGTGTGAACTGTTTATCATGTTGTGTTAAATCCTCTAAATGCTGATTGCCGACAGTTTGCTGACCAAATTCGAGTTGACCTTCTGTCTGTTGTGTGAACTGTTTATCATGTTGTGTTAAATCCTCTAAATGCTGATTGCCGACAGTTTGCTGACCAAATTCGAGTTGACCTTCTGTTTGCTGTGTGAAATCTTCATCATGTTGCGTGAAATCTTCTGATTGCTGATTATTTGCTTGCGTCAAATCCAGTTGTTCCGAATCTTGCTCGAACTCCTGATCTTGCTGCACGTGATGATCATCTCGTTTGTATTTTCTGTGATAACTAGTCTCATGTTGATATTGTTGATGAGTCTCTTCGGTGCAATCGGCACCATGTGTCGCTCGTCCCGGGTCTAGAGATGACTCGGCAGCGATAAGCTGCTGTCCCGATCTAGTTCCGTATCCGGAACCGTAACTGCTTCCGATACGAGAATCGTACCCATGTGCTGTGCTATGATAACGACCGCGTTGTTCATTGTACGCGTCTCGATCGTAATGCGTTCTACTTCCAGTCCCGTGCAATGTGAAATCTGCGCCATGTTCGGGAGCTAGATTTCCCGCGTTGTGACTCGAGGAACTTTGCCAGTGCTCTTCTTGGTAGTGTCTGGACTCGTCTCGTCTGCCAGGATAAATGTTGTAATTCGGGGTCGGATTTGGGTTGTACACTTGCTCAGTAAGGAGCCGATTCTGGGTTACGCCGGACTGATGCGCACCCGAGATTTCCCGTTGGATTTCGCCTACTTGATGTCCGCCTAAATGCGAGTAACTCTGATAATTACCCCCGGTGACTTGCATCGGGTAACTAGGAGACAAATGACTCGATGGTAATACGGGTTGCGCTCGAGATACATGAGTCTCGTGACTCTGATAGCTCCTTTGACTCTCCGTGCCATAAGTATTTACGCTAGGATATAACGACTGTTGTCTATCAGCGAAAGCTTCCGTTTGCTGTTGATCAGTATAGTGACGGACAGTTCCAACGGATGGGACGCGCCGGAAACCTGATATTTGCTGTTGTCCATAAGTGTTCTCGCTCTCGGCGGTCTGGAGATCATTGCTGTGGAAGCTGTGAGCCGCTTCCTGAGTCAGACCCGCGATGTTGGCGGTTTGATGATGAAACTCTCGTCTGAACTTATCAAGCTCCTGCTGCACGTTTTGATGCAGCCCGCTGTGTAATTTATCCAATGTTTCCGAGTGCTCAGCGTCACCTGACGTACTGTAGCTCGAGGTGTAGTTCTTCTTGAAATAGCGGACCTTTTTGGGTCCGGATACGTATTGGCCTTCCTCCTCAAAGACGCGTCCATGACCACCGTCAGTTTTGTAAGAATCCACTCTGCTCCAGTTCTCCGGTGTAGTCGCGCTCGTTTGAACGTTAGCTCCATGTTGCGAATGTCCGTATTCCCCAAAATCTTCAAGTCTCTCGTTCTTACCGCCGATTCTCGTAGATGATTGTTGACTGTGCAGACTACTGTGTCCGCTCTCTTTCGTAACCGTTTGCCCCAATTGCGTATCTTGAGACTCGAGATGTTGGCTAGGAACGTGCAATGAATCGTATCTATGTTGACCACCTAATTCTCCATCTACATTACCCGTGCCATAAGATGATGAAAAATTCTGCTTGTAATATCGTACTCTCTTCGATCCTTCCACATATTGTCCTCGTTCTTCGTGAACTTTGCCGTGTCCACTATCCGTAATGTACTGATTATGTTCGGTCCAATTTCCTGGTCTGGCGTAATCGTAATTGTTCAGATTCGTGCTACCTTGAACTAAAGGCGCGTGATCCTGATAACTGCCCGACGTACGGCGATTCTGATAGGATGTTTGGTAGAAGTTGCAAGACTCTATACAACCGCTTGGGGCGGATAATGTTTGGACAAACAACGCGGATAAAAGGATTATATGTCCTACCGCCATAATCCCCATCTCATCCAATCTCTAAAATAAAAATAAATTTTTAGATAAGTATATATTTTTGCTCTTATTCTTATTATTATTGTAAACATTAATTTTTTCAAGTTTATTATTTTGCAGAAATTATCTAAAGATAATTATGTAGGTTCATCGAAAAGTCGGCATAATCGATAAAAAAGAAACAAATACGTAACATGATATGTACAAGTTAAATTTATAATTTATTATAGCATTCATCGATTTCTCAATTAGAATTTCCGTTTTAATATTGCAAACATGTCAAGAAAAAACATAGCTTTATATTTATATTGATTATACAAGTTTTGATATACTTAATTTAGCTCTTTGTAAGATATATTTAAAACAAATATGTTCATGTAGAAAGAGAAAGAGAGAAAGAAAAATATACTTTTTGTTAACTATTTTCTAAAATGAAAAAATTTCAGGTGATGCAATTGTCTGTGTTAAATAAGAAAGACATCCTCTCCTTCACAAGAACACTAGCGAGAAGAAGAACAAAATCTGTACATTTCCTCTTTGGCGCAAAATTAAAACTTGCAATTCAATGTCTCGCATTCATCGACAAGTTTCATTCGTACACACTTCATTCACACCTGTCGCTACGGAAGTGGTATAATATTTTATTACCTTAATGGAAGAGACGCGCTTACAAATTCAGTTGTAAATGTCGAGATGTTCTCACTAACACTGTAGGCTCACGTATAACTGAAGCAGATTACCGCAAATCCATTTATGTTCTCTCCCCCTTCTTGCCATCGATGATTCCTGAAGCACTTATACATATATTAACGATCTTTTATTTTTATCCATCACGAGAGTCCGGAGATTCGTTCTTATCATACACAATTCTTGGTAACGTAAGATTGACGTTCTGTTATGGATGTATAAGAATATTCCTGTTTCATCAGTTTTGAGATATATTTTTATTATACATACATATATATATAATCATCGTTATTGCACGCATATTTTGTTGGTATCTGTTTTGCTATATAAATTTTAAGTTATCGTATCATTCTTTCAAGAACTAAATTTCTTTTGCAACACATGGGAATACCTGTTTTCCTTATAGAAAAACATTCTTCATGCATAAAAATAAATATATATAACACTATATATGAAACTCCCTGTATATATAATTATATGTTGAAATTAAGTGTATATAAAATTAATATATGTAAGGGATTTTTCTTATGTAAAGAATAGACTTTAAAAAGAAAATTTATTATATATAATTTATTATATATAAAATAGAAAATAGCAGAATATTAACGCTTAACTTTAACTTATTTGTAAATTGATCACGTTTAGATGTATCCTGTTGAATGAATTATACCGCAATATATCTTCTTGACAAATAAAATGATACATTCTTGTTTATATATACAACGTAATTCAGTGATTTCCAGGTAGTGGCTTCAATAAACCGCGTTTTTCCATACTTGGTTTGATGTGTCATCGATTAAGTCATTCTGAATTTGTAACATTCACAATGATCAGGCTCACTTTCATCTAGTAACATCCATGAATAATTTCAAGGTCGTTGTTATGTAAAAGTCGTAATATTTGTATTCTTCGGGATCGTATTCTTTTTGCATATAATGATAACGAGAGAAAATTATTTTTCCGAAAAAATATGCGAAAAATTGAATTTACTCGAAAAGACAATAAAGGTGGTGGATGGCCTACTTATTACAGAAATTACTGACCTTCCTAGAATATAGACCGTGACCTTTTATCATGTTAAGGGTGAATAATATTCCACGATCATGACCTCAATATATGGGTGCCATTGAAGCTGTTGGGATTCCCCATTGAAAGATTAATATGTATAAAGATACAAAGCAGCTGTACCAATATACTTTCTCTTTCATTAAAAGATTTAAATTAGATACAAATTATTTTATATTTTTACAGATATGTATTTATATCATTTACATATTATTAATAATTAAAATCTTATTAAAATGCTTCCGTATTTTTTTCTCTTTATATGAATTATATTATTAAAAAATTATTTAAATATTTATGTCAATATAACTTGTAAGATATTTTTATATAGAGAATAAATTATATATGATAATTAAATTATAATATGAAAATATACAGTTATATATGAAAATATGAAAATATATAGTATAGTATATATAATATATATAATATATACTCTTATTTTACTTTAACTTATAACAATATTCCATGTAATTTTCATGGAATGTTACATGTTGAAGAATTTTTCAAATTTTAGAAAATATATACATACAATCTCAATATTTCTAAATAAAGTAGATAAAAAGTATATTTGCTTATGATCTTATTTAATAAAACAAAACGAAAGAATATGTCGAATAGAAAATATCTTCAAACTTTATCAAAATTTTTATTTTGCAATTAATCTGCAAAATTTTGCGCATCGTAAAACTCGTTTCATGAAATTCCAAACTTCTATAAGATATCACGCGTTAAAGCGACGACCTGCGTTCTGCACTCTGACCTCTCGATAGGCATGACCTATAGATACGTTATAAGTTCTTTAATTTCTCCGAGAAATATGAAATATATAATATACTTTTCACAAACAGAAATTGATGCCAAATAATCATAAAGTATCTGCTTCTAATACATTTTTCAAAAACGTGCATATAATATGTTTAATTAAAATAAAAATGTGAAAGAGTGCAAAAGTCAAATAAAATATTATATTAAATTGTTACATTAAATAATTATATCTTTTCAACTGATAGAATGTTTTTCTCTATTATAACTATTTTGTTTATCTATATAATTTATACTATGATATGATAATATATCATACATATGAAGATATATTTTTAAATGTGTGAAATTGTATGTGAAAAATAAAGTTATCTTTATATAAAAAATATATAATATTATATCTAAAATTATAATTGAGACATTATCTTGAAAACTATATTCTTATCTCTAAAAGCTTGCATCATTACGTTAAATAAGTCAAGGATAAATTTAAACGACAGTTTATATAGCATCAGATTCAATATATAATACGCAGAATGACGTACTGTATGCTCTCAATTCGTCATATCAAATATTTTTTAAGAGAATTAAGAGAAAATTAAACAAAAAGATAGCATTTCAATAATACAATTTTTTTCTGTATATTAAAACGAGAAAATTGACTGATAATCAACGAATCTGCATATATATGTATATGTAATAATGATAATTTTGTATTTTCAGAAACTTGACACGACGATACGATTCTTTAATAGGTCAGACTATTATACATTACATGGAAGTGATGCTCTCTTTGCTGCACAAGAAGTATTTAAAACAACGTCTGTTTGTAAAATGATTGGAGCTGGTAAATATTATTTTAAAAATCGAACATCTAAAAAACGAATCCTTGAACGAATTACTTATTACATTTTTGAAAAGAATATATTCTGATTTTTTAGAGTAATATTAACTGCAGATATTTCGTGAAACAATAATCCTTATTTTTGGTTGGCTTTTGTATTAAAAAAAATCTTTTTATATTTTTTACATACAAAAATAATATAATTAATTATATATATTATATAAAAATTCTCTCATTACAATTAATAATGAAATCATAATCTCTTTTCCCCAGAGCCACATAAGACGGAAGGAGTTATTCTCAATAAAGGCCATTTTGAAACATTTGTGCGTGATTTGTTATTAGTTAAACAATACAGAGTTGAAGTCTATGTGAATCAAGGCTCCTCTAAAAATCAGAACTGGGTTTTGGAACACAAAGGTTCACCCGGCAATCTATCTCACTTTGAAGACATTTTATTCGGTAATAATGATATAGCCGTGGGTGTATCTGTAATAGCTGTGAAACTAGGTACAGAAGGAAAATCCAGAGTAAGTTTATCCTGCATAGTCATATATTTTTTCTAAATAAAGTATTATATATAATATGTTATATATATAAAAATATAACAAATTATATAAAAGATTTTATTAATTATAAATTCTATTAATTATAAATTGTAAATTCTTTTAACATATAGATATTATAATTCTTTAAATATTACAATTCCTCTAATGTATAATATATTATCATACATTATTACACATATTTACAAAAGAATATATGTTTAAAAGTTACATATAATATATATAAAATAAAAAATATGAAATTAAAATATGATCTTATATAAATTTATAATATATCTAAATTATTAATGTTTTATAGGTCGTTGGATTGAGTTGTGTGGATGTTGTTTCGACTTTAATTTTAGTCGGTGAGTTTCAAGATAACGAGTCATTTTCGAATTTAGAATCTCTCATTGTAACTCTGGCTCCGAAAGAGTGTTTACTAATTCAAGGAGAAGGCAGTTATGAATTTCAAACTCTTAAACAAGTATGTAAAAATATCATGTTATAATATTAAATACATTAAATATGTAAAGAATGTAAAGAAGATTGATTACACATACTTTAGTAAAAAAATTGTAATATATAACATTGTAATATTTTTAGATTATGTTTTATACATATATGTGTGTATATATATATTTATTCATTTATTTATTATTATATTTTTTCAGCTAATAGAAAGAAACAATGTGATGGTCACTTTAAGAAAGAGAAATGAATTTTCCAGTGATTCAATCATAGATGACTTAAATACATTAATAAAATTTAAGAAAGGACAGAAGCAGAATGCGCAATCACTACCTGAAGTTAATTTAAATTTAGCTATGTCTGCTACTTCTGCTCTCATCAAATATTTAGATGTAAATGTTATAGTTTTGTTTAGAAGAGATTTTTATGTAGAATGTTACATCTTTAGTACTTTGAAATTTGAATGATTTCCTTTTCCTATCAAAAACAAAAAAATTAATAAAAAAGATGAACGAAAAAGAGAGAGAAAAAATGTATGACAACAAACATATTCTTTTTTCAAGTTATTTGATACTAAAAATACAAAAAGAGTAAAGAGGGAATTTTAAATCTATGTTAAGGGAAAAAAATTAAGTCATTAAAATTTGTAGTAAAGATGACATTCTATATATTTCCTATAGCTGTAATGTATTTTTCATATAATAATTATTTGTTAGTTAACATCAGACGAAGGCCATATGAATCAGTTCAGTCTAAAACAAGTGGAGCAATCGCGATATATAAGATTAGATTCCGCAGCAATAAAAGCTCTTAATATAGAACCGCAGATTGATGGGGTTTCTAACTTACACGGAAATCCTGCCGCCAGTGTCTTAACGTTATTAGACAAGTGCAGAACCGCTCAAGGTCATCGATTGATTGCGCAATGGGTTCGACAACCTCTTAGAGACTTGTCTCTCATAAAAGAACGGCATGATATCGTTGAGTTATTAGTAAACAATAACGAATTAAGATCCATTCTTAATGATGACTATTTAAAACGTATACCTGATTTGCAACAGCTCGCAAAAAAATTGGCTAGAAAGAAATCAGCATTACAAGATTGTTACAAGTAAGCTATTTATGCGAAAACAATGTTATTGTTAAGATTAGAATTAACAATTCTTTGATCAATTTAAAGTATATTTTTTCCTCGCAAAAATTTCGAGATATTTTTTCACGTTTCCAATTTTCACCATCATGTATCTTCGTAATTAAACCTTAAATTAAAATTCTATTGAACTTGACAAAGTTTGGTTTATAAAAGACTTTTCTTGTTCAATCGCTTATAATTTGTAAATTTTTATACTTCGACATTGTTGCTAAGAAAAAATCATTTTCAAATTGACCAAAGAATGTACTATTAAAAGAATATTCAATAATTTTGAGACATTGTGATAAAGATTAATATTAATGAGCTTATTATACATATGTATTTTAGAATTTACTTGTGTGTATCATATTTGCCAAAACTATTAGAACAACTCTTACCAGAAGCAAATATGACAGCACTGAAAGCAATGATAATAGATCCATTAAAAGAATTGATAGAGGATATGGATAAATTTCAACAATTAGTGGAGCAAACAATCGATTTAGATGCTGCTGAAAAGGGAGATTTTATGGTTAATCCCGGATTTGCGGATGATTTCAAAGGTAATCTCAACTTTTAATTTTATATTGAAAGTCACATATAGAATATCTGTAAATAAAATGTCCTAAACTGAACTGTTATCAATTAGGCAATAAATTAAGAAAGAATCTATCTTTGCTATAAAAAAAGATATATTGAAAAAAGAAGTGATTTTTGACACATTTTGACACATACTTTCTTCCTATCTAGTTTTAATGCTAATATTGCGAAATAAATGTAATAGATGTTTATATTTATATATATGCATTGTATGATTGTATGTTTTAACATTACACAGAATTAAAAGATGCTATGGATGAAACAGAGGAAAGGATACAACGACAACTCGGTAAAGCGGCAGATGATCTTGGCATGGAAGCAGGGAAAACGCTAAAATTAGAATCTAATCAACAATTGGGCTATTATTTTCGTATCACATTAAAGGAAGAAAAAATACTTCGAAATAATAAACGTTATACAATTTTGGATTCTAATAAAGCTGGTGTAAGATTCCGAAACAGTAAATTGAGTGAATTAAATGACGAATTTATAGTCGCCAGAAATAAATATTTAGAGAGACAGAAAGATGTTATTACAGAGATTATGGGAATCGCAGGTTTGTGATTCGAATAAAAATTATTTGTATATGCATTGAAATATTAATATAATTAATTTATATACCTATGTAGCTGGTTATAGCGAAACAGTGCGTACTATCGGTGGTGTGCTGGCATGCCTCGACGTTCTCACAGCGTTTGCTTCTGCGGCAATAAGCGCTAACAAGGTGTACGTGCGTCCTGAAATGGTCCCGAGTGAAGAAGGTGAATTGAATCTCATTCAAGTTAGACACCCGTGTTTGGAAATGCAACAAGGAGTCGACTATATTGCCAATGATATCAATTTTAAGCGAGGTACGAACTTAATGTGTTCCAGTTGTATCAAACTAATGCAGCTAGAATTTCTCATTTGTGAATTTTGAATTATATTTTTATATACTTATCACAAAAATTCTTATTCAAAATTCTTATTCGTTCCTTGTAGATCAATATCATTTTTGCATTATTACTGGCCCAAACATGGGAGGTAAAAGTACTTACATTAGATCTGTCGGTGTAGCTGCACTAATGGCACATATCGGTAGTTTTGTTCCTTGTGATAAAGCTACTATATCATTATTGGATTGTATATTGGCTCGAATAGGAGCTGACGACTCTCAATTGAAAGGATTGTCAACTTTTATGACGGAAATGATAGAAACTGCTGCTATTTTGAAAGTAATTTATGTCATAAGAGTTGTTAAAAAATTGTAATAAAAATAATCCATTGTGTCTAATATTATATTTTATTTTCAGACAGCAACATGTAATTCTCTTGTAATTATTGATGAGCTGGGTAGAGGAACATCTACTTATGAAGGTTGCGGTATAGCATGGTCAATAGCAGAGTAAGTATGTGCCAGAAACTGTCATTATGTAAGATTAATATTAAAAATAATTTATTATATGTATTTTTTAGACATTTGGCAAAGGATATCAGATCATATTGTCTGTTTGCTACACATTTCCATGAGATCACCAGATTAGCCGAAGAAGTACCTACTATACAAAATCACCATGTTACTGCTCTTGTCGAAGATAACAAATTAACGTTACTTTATACAGTAAAACCAGGGATTTGTGATCAAAGTTTTGGTCTTCATGTCGCTAAAATGGCTAATTTTCCACCAGATGTGATAGAGGTATGTATTTGATTTGTATAAAATAATTGAGATGTAATTGATAATGTATATTAATATATAATTAATAATGTATATTATTAATCATGTATAAAACTATATAAACTAGTATAATCTTTCCTTTTTTTCTTTTAGTTTGCCAAAAGAAAGCAAGCAGAACTTGAGGATTATCAAAGTGTAGTTTTTGAAGGATCTAATAATTCCCACAAGAAACGAAAGATTATTCAGGTATTGTTTTTTATTCTTATTAATTAATATGTTACTAATGATTAAATGAAATATTAAATATAACGTTATTCATACATGGAATAATATATTACATTCAGTTGAAAAATTCATTACATTAGTAGAAACTGGATTTACATATTAGCGAGATAATTTAATATTGTTACAGGAAGCTGAAACACTCATTTCACAATTCTTCAAAAAGTGTAAAACTTTGGCTCTGACATCTTTATCCGATGCTGATTTAGAAAATAAGGTATTAGTATTCAAGGAAGATATACTATCTCATAAGAATCCTTACATTAAAGCATTACTCGATGCTTCTTCTTAAGTAAACTTTAAAATTGTAAAAATCCCTGTTAGGGATTTAAAAAAAGGAGAGAGAGAGAGAGAGAGAGAGAGACAATAACACATCAGCAGTATTATTTTCATAAATATTTTCACCGTTAATTATATGCTTCCTTCCTCCGGAAATACCGAAGATAATTTTTATTAAATAGAAAAATATTTATATAAAAAAAACGTGTATTTAAATCTTACCTCTTTATTATTCCTGTTTCGAGTGTGATTATTAATTATTAATTTGTTACTTTTTATTGATTTATACTCATTTTGCCAAGATTTAAATTTTCGCAATCGTAAAATTAATTAATACCATCTGTAGATAACATATTGATTCACGTTTTATCCGCTATTGTAACCTTGAACTTGACTAGCGTATTCACTGGTCCTGGGGAGTGTCTGAAGGCCTGTATCAAGTGCTACTGTTGATCCGTGTAACATTTTTCTATCGTTTTTATCACTAATACACAATTATGGATCCCGCGGTCTTCCCGGAAGAAATTTGGATTAAGATTTTATTATACTGCGATGTACCTGACATAATCGCTTTCGGTAGCACCTGCAAGTATCTGAGGAAAACGTCGGACACGGATTATCTGTGGTGAGTGGATGCTAGGGTTAGGTTTACTCCAAAATCAGAATGATTCCGTTGAGATTTTCGTGCGATTTGAGTGATCGAAGGCACCGCGTTTTTGCCCGTGAAAAATTAGATACATCGATATTCGTCTGCTATTCTCTTTCAGTGAGATTCGACATTTTTTAAGTACACAATTGAAAAATCTGAATATGTACTATTGTGATTATCCGGAAGAAATTGTAACGCTCCATTTTTAAGATAATTTTCTATCATTTTAGGAAGATGAAATGGCTGCAGTTGATTTCAAAGGTGCACTTCAAATTCCCGGATATAAAGTGTCTGCAATTACTCAGCGTCAGCTTCAAGGCTATGTGCTACAGATTGCATATGGTGATCACATTGGGCGAAAATGCGCCCTTCCCAAAATGTTATCACTGCAGCGGTTACACTTGTCAAAGAAATTGCGTAGAGGGTTCCAGCGCAAAGGTGGTAATCGAGATTGGCAATAAGTATACATGGGTTATCACACCAAACTTTGGGCTAAGAAGACACTTCTCGATGTTCGGCATTCCCAAGTACAATAATAAAACTCACATGGAGCAAGCGCAGACTCAAAATGCCCCGAGCAGCAGCACACGCTCCAAGTCTGACACAAAGTCGCTAGCAAAAAGATTGAAGTTATTAAAATTGTCGGAATTGGCGACCGCTAAGATCCCACGGCCGAGCGGGCCGTTCTGCGTCTTCTGCAATCCTGTGAAACTGTACAGGGAGAAGCGAAGATTAGTCACGCATCAAAATGATCCCATGTGTTACACCAGACCGAATCCAATTTATCAAAAGCTCATAAATGGCTACTGCACCGACACGGTCGACGTTTTCGGTATTCCGAATGTGGATGTTGTAAGCCCGGCAGAGGCATTGCTATGCGAAGGCACGTTTCCAGTTCTCAAAACCTTTATCGATCACTTGTTTCATCAGATGAGTTTAACCGCAACACTGAGAAAGCCAAATACCGTACTCATGTTTTGTGAACCATTGGCTATGCATCCCACATTGAGAAAGCAATTGTTACATTATTTATTCCAGGAAGTTAAAGTAGCAAGGTATACAATTGTACTTAATATCAATAGCCTGTTACTTCTATATTACAATTGTGTTATACATCTTTTTCGATATCTATATGCAAAATCTTACAGTTAAAATTATTGCAGGGTATGCCTGGTACCGAAACCTCTAGCGGCATGCGCTATGTTGGACGTAGAGACTTGCGTTGTAATCGACAGCGGTGCTCTTAGCACAACGGTAGCCGTCGTAATTGGAGGACGGGTTATACCACAACGTTGGAGATTGTTACCCGTGGGTGGTTGGCATGTTGCTTATCATTTAAAACAAGCTATGCACTGGCAACCAAAGGAATATCATCAAATTCCTATATCCTACTTGGATGTTTTGGCTGTTAAAGAAAGATGTAGACTGAGTTATAACATTAAGAATGAAGAGAAACGCTTTGGACAGAAGGCGAGAGAACATATTAATCTCCGAGTTGATAGCTATGCGGATTACAAACAATTTTGGGTACATATATGTAACAATTATATTATATTTTAACTGAAAAGAAATTTAATTTAATTCGCATGTTTATAAACAAAATTTCTTAAGAAAAAATATCGTTATTTCCAGAGAGTATCTCTAGGGCCAGAGTTGTATATAGCCCCCGAAATGATGTACATCAGTCTCCGTTTGCCCGAAATTATAAAAGATGTAACGTCAGGATTACCGGAAGATATAATGCACGATTGTCTTTCACATATTCTACTTACTGGTGGAAATACGGATCTTTCTGGTTTCGAATTAAGGCTTACCAAGGATTTACGTGAACTGTTGCCAGAGTATAGCAAAATTTTAGAAGTGAAAAGTTGTCCTGGAACGCATAGTTGGAATGTCGCGATGGGATCTACATATGTGCCTTTAGCTGTGCATCCTGGTAAGCATTGATAACTTGTATATATTTCTATATATGTAATAATTAAGTATAAAAATATATATATATATATATATATATATATATATATATGAAAATCATGTTCAAAATGCACTAAAAGATAAAGTATGTAATAAAGAAATTAGAGAAATATTTTTAAAAAATAAATAATATAGTATAAGTGATAGTATTTTTTCAAAATTATTTGTTTTAGATAAAACTCCACCAGAGTATATTGAAGGTAATCCATTTTGGTTATCACGAGAAGAATATGTGTTATTTGGATGTGAATCTTTGGAACACAGTAATGAAGGTATAATAGGTGATACCTTATAATGCGAATGCCTCATTTATTATTACATAACTAAGATGCATGGGTACGCGCGCATCTCCTATTTATATAAAAATAATATATAATGACAGGAAAGTAAATGTTACCATCATTAAGTATATTTTCTCTTATATTGTCTATAAATTGCAAAAATAATTTAGATAGCTGAGAAGGGGCCTGAAACATTCCAAGATATAACTATCATATTCACTATTTAAAGGCACCTAAATGTGTTTCTCTTTCTCAAATTTTGCTATCTAAAATTTATTTATTAGTATAGTATATGTAAAAGGTATATAACAAATGTTCCATTTCGATCTACACAGTGAAATTTGTATACCAAACAAAATAGTGCACACAGAAATTTATATCTTTTAAATTTTACATTAAATAATATTGTCTTTTTCTAGATGCATTAAAAATAAGTGCTTTCACTTAAAAAAAATTATATTTTAATAGCATATAATAAAATAAATTTACATATTGCACACACACATACACACATATATATATATGTATATATGTGACTATTGCGTTTATGTTTTATATAAGAAATGTTTTATTGTGTAGATTGTAAGGAACATTTTGTATATATGCTCTAAAACTGCCCCTCCGCCCTGTATTAACTTCGAAACTTACGGCATTTAAATTATTAGGCATACTAAAAAAAGATTCATTATCTATTCATAGTATTTTAGAACATAAAGCTTCATATAAAGCTAGTTGATATGTCAGTTACAGTAGTTTCATACATTTGTTACTACTAATTCTATCAGGATCACTATCATACTATTTGGTGCAGTGTTACATGTTGATGGCGTAAATGTTTTAAAGCTGCAGTAATATAAGAAATTTGGTGCCATCTGAGCAATTTTAAATTATAAAACTATTACATTTATGTGTGTACATAGCACATAATGCAATGAATTGTTTTGTAAATATAGTATATAATTGAGCTGCTTAAATGAAAATTGTACAGATCAATAATATAAACGTCAAATACATATATTATATGCAGCTAGATATAGAATATTTCCAGAAATTGTTCACTATTTCGTACATTTATATCACAGAAATCTTGCCAAAAAAAAGTATGTGTTAACAAGAGAAAATATATAGAAACATTTCTAGTCACTTTAGATATAGATTTAAATATATATTCAATAAAAAAACAAGAGATTCCTCTTCCAAAATGAGATAAATAATAATATTAGCGACTTGTAATAAATAAAAGGAACAATGAAAATCTTTAGATTATAACTCATTAATATATATGAAGATATATCGTTATTCTATATAAATATATATTTTTTTTTGTTAATTATAATTTTTTTAATAAGTTATATAAGGTATAATTATTGATATAATTGTACTCATGTGTACAGATATTTGATTAAGAGACTGTAATGAATTTTATAGTTGTAATTAGAGCATATATATATATTGAGAGAAATGAGTTGAATATACATATTATTTAGATAAGAATATGTAATGTGTAATCAGTATATAAATATAGCAGTTAATTAAAAAGGATAGTATTGTAAAAGCTATGTTATAAAAACTGACGTTTGTATTAAAAAAAAAGTCTAAATTATTATTGTTGTAGCTAGAAATTTTTCAGAGGAGACTTACTTAAGTTTTCATACAAATCACACGGCTTCAATTCTGTAAAACGCTGAAATATGTAAGTATAAAATCTTAAACAAATCAACATACGACAAAGTAGCTTCTAATACATAAACATATATTCTGTTTTCACTTTGAACGTAAAAAATTTTGCATCTTTAATATGTAAGAAAATAAATAACCCAATACAATGTTTAAAATGAGAATAAAAATGAGCATAAAAATACATTTTTTTGATTATTTTGTAAAATATTTTTTCTCTTTTTTTTTCATATATATGTAATATAACATTGGCCAATTTACTCTTAGAAACGTAAATTATAATTTGAAAATTGTTTCAATCTTTAAATCGCATATGCGTTCAATAATAATAAAATGAATCTACAATATAAAGATATTGTTACTTTTGCCGTGACAAAAAGTTATACTTTCGTAATGAAGCGTTCAGCGTTTATTGCATTCGGAAAATGTAGTATTGCAAAAATCTTCATTATATTAAATTATAAAGTATATAGATATATATAATTCACTGTTGCTTGGTTTTGTTATTTATAACAGATGTACAATGTTGTAAATAAATCTTTTTCAGATATCCGTGCGTTATATACATGTTCAATATGCATAATTAGATAGTAAATAAAAACATAAATAAAAGAATATGAAAGACGTATTTTTTGAATATAATAAAGAAATGTTATACAAAGAGGAAGAGAGAAAGAGAACACATAGCTTAATTCTTTTTTTAGAAAAGTTTAGCAAATTTCTATTGGTACTATTACATACAAAATACATTCCAAATGTAATATATTAATTATTGGGCATTTTTACAGAATTATTTTCCTCTTTATATTTCCGTAAACTGAAGATAATTTATAATTTGATATAGAAAAGAGAGAAAAAAAATTATTTTCATATGATCGCATCGTTTTATTAACAATTATTAGCAAGCTCATGTATACCTGTAACATCTTTTTTAATTTATGTATTTATAAAATTATCTACAAATTTTTATTTCCTTTTTTTATACAGCTGATGAGTATAAAATGTAGTAAAGAAAGATACTCTTTCAACGTAATTTCATTCATTACTACTTATAGACTGTGAAGATTTACTTTATTTATATTATGCATTGTGTGTATGTGTATGTTGACATTAAAGAGACATTTCTGCATGTATTTACTGACATTTTTTAATTAAATATAAATTACTCAATGTTGGTTTCTTTTGTAGTCACGTTATGTATTCAGAGTTTGAAAAATATTCTATATTTGTAAAACTTATAGAAAATTCCATAAAGGAGGTATATTTAAAATAGCACGCGTACCAGTTTATATAAAAAATCTCATATTCCAATTTAAAATATGTATATATATGTATATACTACTATATATATTTTCTATATATGTATATATACTTTGGTGCTATATTTAAGTTTTTATATGATACATAAAGCAAGCGACTTAATAATACACTACACTAACATCAACAATGCATATGTTAAATATGTATGTTACAATTCAATATTTTCACAAACTCTGGCATTATCAATAACGATTTATCAAGAATCAAGTTATGAAGAAGTGAGAGAAATATGTTTCTGCTTGTTTTATACATTTATATAATTTTACATTTTGTCTAGTAAATCCCAATTTTAAATCTTGTTTTCTTTGTATAAGATAATGCGCTGATATAATAAATATCATATACTGTCATGTTTAGAAATAAACTTTTATTATCTCATAAAAAAAATGAATTCAACAAAACTGCACAGTCTTTATCATTTATTGAGTAAAATATTGATCCTTGATAGACAAAATATATTAAACAGCCCAATATTGTAAAAATATTCTTTATGGTTTTAACATATTTCGTACATAATGTTATATGTCTTTGAAACAATCCTAATTCAATCTTTATTTGCTGCGATATTATATTGTTAATATATCAGATGACTAATAAAGTTCATATTTACAAAACTACACATTTTGTTAAGAATTCTATGATTAGTTTGTGGTTAAAATCTAATGTGTATATATATATATATATATATATATATATATATATATATATATATTTATATATGTTGTGATCAAAATTAATATTATCTACAGAATATACATTGTTTTGATAAATTGCTGAAAATATAATTTTATGTTTCTTATACATATCATGTATCGCTAACTAAGCCATAAAGGTGTCTAAAATTTATATGATATCAAATTTGCTGTGAAACTCTGGCTAGTTAATGCAATCTGAGGACAATTTTGATTTTACCAGGTTCTTACGATACGCATGCATAATATCCGAATAAGTACTTCTGAATTGAAGAGAAAAAAGCTACTTCAAATTGCTATTATTTCCATATGCCTAATTTAATCATACAAACTTGGCACAACAGTTTCGAGTAATGAGTAAGATATGCATACCATTCAAAGATTAAATGTATACATAAGTGGTGTTTTTCTCATTATCAGTCATTCATAATCCATAAAGAATCATTAATTTTTAGAATGTTTATATTTTGAGGAAATATATATATAAATCTTCATTTATTTTCCCTGTAAATATTTAATTATTCTAGGTAATTGTATGAATTTTATTAGTCATCTGATGATTTATGCAAATTATATATACAAAAATTATATGTATGTGTAATTTTCAATAATAATTGTTTATCTTTTCCTTAAATAAAAGAATGCAGTAGAAAGTTATTTGTCACATGAATAAAAAGAATTGTGCCTATATGTTGCTATTTAATAAAATGTTAAAGTAATACACAAATATATAGAAACAATCTGTTATATAATAATGCAATAAATAACTTTACAGTCTGAATGTAACACATACAGGTAAATAACAACATGCTTATAAATTCATTAAATTACAGATTTAATGTATTTTTCCCTGAAATAACTATCCCATCTGCATTCTCTGAATTCTTTTTTTCTTTCTTACCTCGATAAATCAAAATAGCAACTTAACAACACGAAGTTTTTGCCGGTTCTGCCTCGACTAGGTTAAAATCTAAACCACCAGGTCTAGCAAATCCAGTTTTGATGCCATCCCAACCATCTTCTACTTTGTATTCGCCAGTTTGTATCCTATTATAAACTTCCTGCGTAACCGCTCGAAATGCCTCTTCGACATTTATACCAGTCTTTGCACTGGTCTCAATATGATGTACACCATGCTCATCGGCAAACGCTCTAGCTTCTTCCTTTGAGACTTCCCGTCTACCACCATTAGTTACTAGATCCAACTTACAGCCTACCAAAGCAAATACAGGACGATGTGGCTCGATATGTCTGCGGGCCTCCATCATCCATTGAGGAATATGCTCGAAACTTGCTCTATTACATACATCGTATATGAGAAGGGCTCCTACAGAATTTCTGTAGTAGGATTTTGTAATTGACCTAAGAAGATAAAAATGTTTGATATTTATTCTTTGTCAGTTGATGAAAATTAACGAAGCAAATGTATAAAAATCTATGATACAAGAATATACAGAAAAAAATTTGTTTATTATATTTTCCAATATTGTTATCTACAAATATTATGCATATTGAAAAATATAATATATTCATAAAATATACATTAGATATATATATATTAGCAGTATACAACATACCTAAATCTCTCTTGACCAGCTGTATCCCACAATTGTAATTTTATTCTTGTTCCATCCTTAACTTCTATTAAACGTGCGAAAAAGTCTACGCCAACTGTTGGATCTGAAAGCTAAAGTTGAAAAAGAAATTAAAAAGAGCTTAGTAGCATTTTATATGTATAAGTTATATAAACAATATTATTTGACTTCTATACAACTAAAGTTTACATGTATTCTAAGGAAGAAAGAACCGTATTTATTGTAACAATCAATTTAAAACTATAACAACTTTTATATATTGCCTAATCTGTATTAATCATGAAATTCTTTAATTGCAAACTATGATGATGCAATTCTTTAATGACCTAAAGAATGACATGCAGAAATACAGATGTAATTGAAAAATAAACGACAGGTATAGCACAGGGTTAAGTAGTACTCAAATACATATTTTAATACGTCGAGGTGCAACAGAAGGAATGGCACACGAGGAGAAACCAGCCTAACCTAATTAAATCGTCGAACATCGTCATAGTAATTTACAATTGAAGTCGTACAGCGATTTGAATCGTAAATGAAACGGACTTTGACATGGAACGTTGGAGCGTCGCGTTAAATCGCGAGAACGAGAAGCAAGGAAGTAACGCGCAGCAGACACGAGTGGAGACATTTCTAATGGCAGCCTGTTGTGCGTGCCTCGCGCTCGCCCGTTCGCGAGACGGGGCAAGAGAAGAGCCGCGCGTCGACATTCGATCAGCCTTACCTCCGCGAATTTGCCATCCGTGAAGTATTTCAGGAGGGAACTCTTGCCGACCGTACTGTCGCCGATCAGTATCAGCCGAAACTGATAGTCGAAGAGAGGCTCCACCATCCTTGTTACAGCGCAAGGCGCCTGCTGCTATTGTTGTTATTGTCGTAACACGTTAATTGGGCAAGCGCGACGTCCTTCAGCAGACCTCGCGCATCTCTAGCACCGGCGTGATTCGTCGAGCGCAGCGCGTACTGAGCGGCACAGCTGATCGTGACAGCGATCATCGGAGCCTCGCGATTATACGCGACTATGCACGCGAGACTCGAGAGGACTCTCCGTTGCTTACTTTACTCGACACCGCGTATACTCCGCGAACTTCGCGCTCCGATCGCGCGCGCGCTACTGCGCAGCGCGCATCCAGCGGTGCGAAGCGGGCCGAGTCTCTCGCGCATGCGCGGCGAGCGTGCGTCGGTGTCATATCCTTATATTACATTTGTCGTGCGATAAATTTTTTAAGCATATTGATTGGCTGCGGGATAGTAATTTTTTGAGTCTTTAGAAACTTTCTATTCTGCAGCCAATTGATATGTTTCGAAAATTTGTACGACAAATGTGTAACATTAGCCGTATTCATACGTTTTTTCATTCTTGTTTCTATTCGTAGAACGCACTGGCAGAGTTTTATCTCTTAAACTTTGGAACGTCTTGTATTTAAAAATATAGATATTGAGTATATACAATGTATTAACTTAAGAAGAATTTCTATTTATCTAATCTATTATTATTCATCGTGTACCAATATCCATGATATTATCTATGTGATATGCGATATGTCGTTGTTCATTGGTTCTATCGCGCATGCGCGGAAAACTAGGCTTCGTAATACACACGCACACATGGCACTGATGACACATCGTGACACAGTCGTGCAACACGCGTCGACGCGTCTCCGTTCAAAAGTTCACTAGCACTCTTCTGTTTACATTCGACTCTTTTCTCTGCCCCTCTCTTGTAGATAGATGCACTACTACTGGATATATGTATGTACGTATGTATTGTATGTACATAATTATGCATACATACATATGCTAATCCATAGAAAGTCAAGAAGTGTAACTTGAAGTGAGCGAACCTGTTATCGCGATCACGCGCGAATTGTCGGATCAGCTGATGATCTCGCGAGCTTTATTATGCGCAATAATAATTATGTATAAATTTATTCTTTAACATTGATGTATGCATTATTTAATTATATTTTCTACATTATTAAAAAATTATTGAAAAATTGATTCTTTTGAAAAAGAATACGATATAGCCAATGGAAAATTTTAAGGAGAGCGAAACAAATATGGAGCATTTTTCTTTCTTTTTTCTCAAGATTTGAATATTTCATTATGTGTGTAGAAAACGTAAGAAAGCGTAGCTAAAACAAATAGATTTATTTTATTTCTTTCTCTACTTCTCTCTACTTTCTCTTGTCATTTAAATGTTTCAAGAATATACATATTATTCTTTCTAGCTTTTCTTTTCTTTTTCTCTTTTATATCAACAAAAACTTTGCATATATTATATGTATTACATTTTATTATATTTATTATATTTTAATATATATTTATTATATTTTATTATACTTGTTATATTTTTATATATTATATTTTAATATTAAAATAGGAAAGAGTGTGTGTAATGATTACAAAAAATTTATTATTATTAATTTTTAATTTATTAATAAGACTGAAAAGAGCAAGCGAACGTTATTTTAGCTCTGTGAGACTCTGTGAGGCACGTGTCAAATAATATAATTTGAATAATTTTTTATTTAAAATTTTCAATATACCTTATATTCCTTCCAAAAATTTTTACAAATAGTAAATTTTATTATACATATATTTTAATAACAATGTATTAATGGGTTGAAATCTTGGCTTGATTCTATTGAATGTTATCGTACTCTGTGTATGTATATTTTATGCTACTGCTATGTTGTGTTCTACTTGACACGTACCCATTACAAGTTAAATCGACGCTTTTTAAACTTTGTACATTAATTTTTTAACGCGTTAAATGTGTCGACTAACTAGATGAGTCATCATGAGTTAGCTAACTCTTTGTTAATAATTTAAATGTCACCAGTTGCAGCGATTTGTCAAACTGGCTCTTGCAGTTTACTTTTTATTTAATTCTAAGTATTACAAAAATTTTGGAAATAACTTTTCTCGAAATAAAATTTTGCACTTTCAAAGATGTTAGTCATTAATAAATGAAAGATTAAAAGAATTATTTAAATAAGATATTTGTTGAAGTCGATCACTTTGATTTTATGCCGCCCTGTTTTAAAGTTCGCATATTAAATTTTACGCTACGTTAAATCCTTTTTTGTATCTTATAATATTTACAATTGAATCTCTCTTTTAAATCGAATCTATCCTTTTTTATACGTTACTCGCATCACTCTTCATTTCATGATAAACTTATTATTGTCTGTGAAATATTTAAAAAAAATATACATATCTGTATGTGTGTGTAATTCCTTTATCAACAATCGATATCCCAATATCGCTTAAACAATATTTCAATATTCCTCAAGAAATATCTTAGAAACTTTGAAAAGCTTCTCAAACAATTTTTGAAGACTGCGTGATTTATAAATGACAATTATAAATAAAAAAAAGCAAAGCTTACAAGTATACTTGTGCGTAGAATCGGAAAAAATAAATTCTCCCATTTACCACCATGGAATATATCGATAGCCATACGTCGGTATCGATACGGCGCCAAGGATCTTCGTTTACACGCCGTTGCCTGGTAAATCGCGCCGGCGCGCGAGCGGCGAGCGCGCGATTGGTCGGCCGGCGCGTCGGCCGGCGCGTCCGATTGGTCGCCGGGGCTTGTGTACGCGACGACGGGGGCGACGTGAGTCGCGACGCGCCGCACGACCATTCGTACGCACCGCGCGACGCCGGTCAGTCGTGTGAAGAGGAGCGACGCGCGTCGGTTTTTCACGCGAGTGCGACGCTCTCGGTCCAAGTCGTGTCGCTTATCGTCGTCGAACAAAAATTTGTTTCATCAAAAATGTGATCGGACGATACGTACGGCGGTTTCTCGCTCGTTTGGGACGCTCGTTCTTGTGAAAAATCTACCCGTCACTCTCCCCCTTTCACCTTCTGTTTTTGTCCTTCTCTTCCGGAGGCGAAGGCAAGAAGTCAGCAGCAAATTTCGCGCTTCACGGAGGATTCGCATCGACGGCGAACATGATATTTTTGTGAGAAATCCAAGGTAAGCCACGATTTTACTCTGAAAATATATTATATTAGGATCCATCTGGGAAAAAAGAGAAAGAAAATAGATAGATGTGTGTGTTTCTTTTGCGATTTTGAACGCTCGAAACCGGGAGCTTGCAATTGTTGAAATTCTCTTCATTTGGGTTTATTATTTGTCATCCTCACAATTGATTATCAAGAATTTTAAGTAATTTGTGCGCGACATATTTTCGTAACATTAGTTATAAGTGCATCTTAGAAAGACAACTAGAGGAGAAAATACTACCAATTATGACCAATTAAGATCCGGTACTACCAATTATGATCAATCTCTTGATGTAAACCGTATCGCACATATAATTTCAATTGATATAAATAAATCATTTTCAATTGATTGTAAAGATTGAAGTCGTTAAAGAAATAGTTGCATCGATAAACATTGACGGATTATTTAAAATAGAAAGATTTGTTCCATAGTGTGGTTTAAAGTTTAAATAGAGAGATTTATCATATGGTTTAAATTGTCCCGCGCGATAAAGCGCGCGAAATTTCATCGCGCATGCGTTGTGCATTTTTTATATAAACTCTATTTTTTAGTTTCTTTATTCTCACGTTCAACACGCGCTACGCTTTTTCATTCATGATTCCAGAGAGTGCAACGAGATATAAATCAGTATTAGCGTGTATTCTTGAACAGATTTAGAGTTAATATGAATGGAATTAGGTCGTCAAAAGTTGCGACAAATTAAATTAAAAAATAATACGTGTAATAATTTATGTTATTATTTCTCTGTTGGTGGATGAAAAGCAATTATTTTAGAAAATGTTGTAATATTTTTCAATGAAAAAAAAATATAAAAAATAAACCTATCAATATATCTTTAAAAGAATATTTTTATATAGCAATTATGACAGTTAATCGATTACAAAAAATACGCGTAAAAATGGGTCAATTTTTTTTTTCAGTGAAATTAAATAATTGTAATATTTCTGGATCAGTAGTTTACGTAGAAAAAGATTACGTAATAAACAAATAAACGTAATAAACAAAAAATAACTAGTTGAAGCGAAAAATATATATATTTAAATATGTATTTCGGGCTGGATTATTATTTAATTACTTATATATTTTCCAGATGCATATGATTTCTAAATTAATGCTTAAATTCAATTTATTTTTATATTTTTGATGAGATAAAAGCTACACATATTTGCAATTTACTTTCCTTAATGTATCGTAGAAACAATTTTGGTTTATTTAATAACAAAAAAGGAAGAAGTATTATTTTGTACATTTATATCGCGTAAGGAGCGTGAAATCGTTTCCGGGTGAAGAAAGTTTACCGGCGTTTATTCCGTCAGAAAATGTAAGTACGGTCTCCACGGCCCATTGCATTGTCGCAATTCGCGTGTAGAAAAGGAACGCGCGTTTTTCTCATCGTAATATTAATCTCTCCGTGCATCCGGGCGATAGCCTCGATCGCGGCCTCATTGCGAGTACACACATCGCTATCGCGTTTAGAATGGTATGAATTTTTTTGTCCATCGGTAACAAGCCCATTCACTTTTTTTCGATATCGATTCCTTTATTCGCCGAGAGAAAAATATGGATTTTTCTCGCGCAAAGTCCTTTTACCATGAATCATGTGTTGATGTATCGCGTTACAATAGAACACCGTTTAATTGAACGTTTGTTTATTCGAAATTCGAAGTAATACATCGAAAAATTAAAATAAATGAATAAAATATATGAATATAGTCTTAGATGTATATTATATACATTTAAATTATCGATGTAACAACGCCAGATTAAAAATGACGCGAAATGGATAAGGAAGAACAAAATTCTAATTCTAATTACTTAATATTTCCAGTTATTTTGAAGCTATTTTAAAGTTCGTTGCTTTGGACAAATAGATTTTACGATTTTTAGATAATTAATTATATGAAATGCAAAAAGAAAGCAAGTATATTAAAATAATTATATCAAAATATATATAAATTACAAGTAATAAGTACAATATATTACAAGTAATTTACGTAATAAATAAATTTTCCAAGACATAATTATTTGATTATCTAAACGTTTTATTCCCGATTAGTTACAACTGAGATTTTATTATATTATATTAATAAATTAATAATAAATCTATCCATATGAGGTAGTAGAGGTTTCAAAATAAATTGTTATTAGAAAATTAACATTCCTGAGAAATGAAACTTATGCAGAAACAAGAATAGCGAGTATAGATTTAACTACAGTTTGTATTTTTCTGCGTTTTAAGAATTATATTTAGATAATATATCAATAAGTAGCAAATTTGTGTTCCATAAATTACATAAAAATTAAATTTGATTAGAAATCAAATTGCTTATATTAAGTATTTATATTGAGATCGTAATGCATTATAAAAGCAGGTTCTTCTACTTCAGTAATACAACTGATCGGATGTCCGCGTTACGCAAAACTAAAGCATTGACCCTATGATATAAAACCAACTTTATATAACGCATTATATCTACTATGCGTTTGTCGAATGGACTACTTTTTTTTAAAGAGTATATGTTATTATTGAAAATTTATACGTTTTAGTATCGCCTACAAAAAAACTTGAAAGAAATATATTTTTATTAAATGTGATATTTTATTGATATAAATATTTGAAATTGTATTATTCAATTATTATTCAATTATTGACACGATATGGTCTATCAGATTTTGCGCTACTAATCTTGAATTCTTCTTGTCGTCATGATAAAATTATGCAAAGAAAATTTGAAAAGCTCCAATAAGTTTGCACTGCATAAAGTGATCTCAAATCGATCGTCACACCGTGATAATAAATTATAAAAGACTCTTGTGAGAGTTTTCGAAATTTTTAATAGTGGTGGATATTTGAACATACATGAAATCTTTTTTATTTATTATACATATTATATTTGAGAGAAACTTGATTTCGCTCTTGCTGTTAATTTTTTTCTGAAAAACAGTTGAAAATTTATTCTTCTTGTCAGTACGCAAATATAACGATTATTTTTTATAGCAGTACATGCATTACATGAATTTTTATATACATGAATATTTTTTATTTATTTTTATTTATTATTTTCATTTATTTATTTTTATTTATTTATGTATTTATTTTATATTGTTTATTATTAGTTATTATTAAACTAACAATAATACACACGTACGCACATATTTTGCATTTTATAGATGTATGTATAAAATAACACAAACTTAATTAAAATTTATAATTTGTAATTTTATTTATAATTTTGATCCATGATTTGATTACATTGATTGAAATAATAAGTTATAGATAATGTTTCCGTACAGAAAACCGTTGTAAAGATATGTTTCTGTTGCACATACATATTATTAGCAATATAGTCTTGTCTGTAAATTATATACTATTCACTAACAGGAACATCATAGCGACTAAACTTCCATTGAACAGTTGCATTTTACAATTATGTCGTCAAGGCTGAGACGCTTTCATTTTACATAGTCTCTAAAGAACCTTGAACAATATTAATTAATTATAAAATATGGAAACTTTATAAAATACGATAACTGTTATTCATAACTGTACTAGGTACATTTTATACATTAGTAGGTACATTTTATATTGTAAAATATTGAAACTCTTTATGGAGTTTTCCTCTCGTGATAATCCTAATTCTAAATTTCTAAAATATGCCGAACGCTTTTCAATTGTAATTTTATATAATGTGAACCTATATAAAATATAAATAAATATTGAAAGTTGATTTCGATATTGTCGATACTACGAAAAGCACTAGAAGCAAGAAGTAAAAATATTAATTATTTAACATTTGATTTAATAGATAATTATAAAATATTTATTTGTTTTATATATATAAAGATATTATTGTATAAAGTTAAAAAAAATTACATGCAATTTTAGATGTTTAAAATTATAATTATTATATGTTCATAAATTATGCAAATAATGTGAACGTGTGTTTGATGATTTTATCTTGCATTTTAATTTAAATTATTTTTCGCAAATTACTTGTTTTTATTTGTTTTATTTAAAAAAAATCAAGAAAATAATAAAAATTGCATAATTCTTAATTCAGCAAAAAAATTAGCTTGAGAAAAATATTTCATAAATCTTATATCTGCGAGTTAATACTAACATATCGATAATATCGAACTATAACCATAATAAAAAGTTCATAGAATTAATGTATAGTCGATTCTCTCTTCAAGATTTAAGAAAAAGATTTAATGGTACAATTTTGTAGAATTACATCTAATTATTTGTAACTCTAGAGAATGCTTTAGTGACTTCTATATCATGGCCTCTCTCTTACCAGAGTAAAACGTAGTACATATTATGTATAGTCTTCATTTAATGCAATTGAAAGTTTTAACTTTAAAGGCAGCGAATATATAATCTTGAGTAGCATAATCGATATCATAGCTAAAGCGCATCATATTCTCTTTACATTATATCTCTTTCTCTCTGCTCGCGTAGGAAAGCTTCTCTGAAAGATATAGTTTACGTCCTACTTTGCCACGTCATATACGATGTAAATCGTGAACATTTAAACATGATTATGCTTTTTAATTACCTCTGTTAAGCTAGCAGGACTAAATTAGCAAAATCAAACCAAACCTATCACATTATTTAGTTATTATTAAATTAACAGTAATACACACGTACGCACATATTTTGCATTTTATAGATGTATGTATAAAATAACACAAACTTAATTAAAATTTATAATTTGTAATTTTATTTATAATTTTGATCCATGATTTGATTTTTTTTTTTTTTATTGTGGTCCTGCTGACTTAATATTAAGGTGGCAGTGGTCATGATTTTTTCAGAAATTGCACAGAGTACAAAATTATTATTAGTGATACAAATTAGTACAAAATAGGTACTAAATAATGTGATAGGTTTGGTTTGATTTTGCTAATTGGGTCCTGCTAGCTTAACAGAGGTTTTTTAATTTTATAATTGCAATATATTCGATGCA